CCGACATTGTGGAGTCAATGAAAGGTCATGGTCACGGGTAACAATTGAAAGCCACGTTGCACCAGAACCGTCCTGTAGAAATATAATGTGCACCATGCGTTTAATCTTTAAATTTCCAGTGGCCATATTAAAATAGTAAAATGGAAATAGGTGAAATAAATTTTTAAATGGATTTTATTTAACCCAATTTAGCCAACATATTATCATTTTTAACATGTAATAAATATAAAAAGTTACTGAGATATGTCACACTCTATTTTTCATACTAAGTCTTCAAAATCCAGAGTGTATTTTACACCTACAGCACATGTCAATTCAGGCTAAACACATCTCCTGGGTTCAGTAGCCACAAGTGGCTAGAGACTAGGGATTAGACAGAAAAGCATTTAAACTTTCAGTTCCCTTGCTGGAGAGTATCTGCCAGGCTGTGTGATGAGCTCTTTAATGCTCATCTTCTTGTCTCCTTAATCGTGGGTCCCGCGAGGTGTATACTAATCGAGGTGTATACTAATCGTAGCCCTATCTTACAGATGTTAATGGAGTTTTGCTACTATTATCTCCACTTTACAAATGAAGAAGAGGTTGAAGAGAAAAGAATTCATGTGGTAGCTATGAGAAAAGAATAAAATGGGTATAGAGTCTAGAAAAAACTTCCTAAGGATTAAGAAATAGCAGGAATTGGGACAAATCAGATACAGTGAGCCAACGAGATAAAAAGCTCAAGATAAGTTCTATGCAAATAAAATAAAAGAATGTTTGTTAGATGCTTGACTCTTCTGAGGCTGGAAGGCAGGAAAATGGTAGCTGCAGTTAATAGTCACAGAAAGATGGAAATGGGAGACGGTTTTAGGAGGGAGATACCAGTTACCTAAGTATATGTATAACTATCGCTGTAATCCTTTCTTCCAAAAAACAAAGATTATATTTAATGTGATTAGTTAGCATCGTGACTATGGCTTTAATGAGCCCACTAAAAGGTATTAGCTATCGACCATTAGCAAGTTATTTAACCTGATTATCAATTTTCTCATCTGTAAAATGGGTATAGTAGTATATATCTTACAAACTTGTTGAGCAAAAGGAAATTATGTATGTAAAGGAAAGAGTAGGTGCTCAGTAACTGGTGAAGATGAGGATGAAGATGATGATGTGTTTGCAAAGAATTAGACACCTTCTGCTGAAACTCTGTCCACTCCTAGCCGTCATATATGGTCAGAGGCACAAGCACAAAGAGAAACACCTATTCTTAAACCATAGCCATAAATACAATCTTTAGGTGGTAACAAGAAAGCAAGTATTGAATCTAGCTCTGAAAGAGACAGAAGAACACTGTTTTTCTAAAGAGAAAATCTTTACAACATTTAGACTTTCACTGGATGTCAGATGTACATGACTCTTTACAGAGTCTGAGTTTAAATTAAAACATGCTTTGTTTCTCCTTTTCCTCCCTTTGTGCCCCAAGATGTCTTTCTCGCCTGTCATTTTTTTCTTTTCTTTGTAAACAGGTAGTTTTGTTTTTAACCACAGAACTCTCAAACCAAGAGGGAAATTGTTTCCAGGCATATTACCTATGATCTGCTAGAAGCGTGTCGGGGGAGGGGAGACCCTCTGGCAGGAAACAAACTACTTCAGCCCAACTGTGGGCTGGTGCCCGTGTCTCACGCCTGCACAGGAGCCAGCATTCACACCTTGCTCATAGACACTCTGGATGTGCCTGTGGGGGACACTTGAGTAGATGCGAATTATCTGGAATCATCTACATTACCTCTGGCATTGGCCAGCTCTGCCCAGTGGGTTCTCCTACATGGCCCAGCAGCCCATGGGGGAATCATCTGTTGCTGGCATCAGGTAGTTTATAGGCAATAATTTTCTCAGTGCCCTGCTTTGCCCTCAGAACTTCCACTAGTGCCAAAAAAGAGTTCTAAGTGCAAAGTAGGAAATAAGGCAGCCAAAAAAAGAAAATAGAAAGAAAGACAAAGCCCAGGATCACTTGGCTTCTTGCCTTCATAGAGCATTATTTTTCCCACGTGGAAGGATTTAGTGATTGCCTTAAAAGGTCTGAGTGTGGTAACAGCTTAACAGTATCAGTTGACAGCATGGCCTGACCAAATGGGGGCAGAAGAAGAGGTGTTCAGGGATGTCCATCAATCATCCATGTCTCTGGTTATTCAACAAACATCTAATGAGCACCTACTATGTGCAGGTGGTGGGCTGGGTGCTGAGCATCCAACTGCAAATAACACACATCTCACAGTCTGGTGGGCAAGTCAAGAAATTAACAGATAATTTTAATACAGTGTGAGAGTAAAATAATTGAGAAGGGCAGGGTGGGCCAGGGGCATGGGGCGGGTGGTGGGTTTGGAAGTAAAATGTAGGAGCTCCCAACCCAGCCTGGGACTCGGGGAAGGACTTTAGGAGAAGGCGGTGCCCACGAGGAATCCCAGATGATGAGTAGATATTAGTGAGGCAAAGGGAGGGAGGAGGCAAAGGGACATTCCAGACCCAGGGGACCGCTTGAGCCAAGGGCTTGAGGAGGAGAAACAGCATGATATTTGGGGATGGAGGGGATTTACAAATAGTGCTGCTGGAGCACTAAGTTCAAGGCAGGGAGTGAGGAGACCGGAAGCTGGAGTGGAGGGCTTTCTAGTAAGGTTTGTCAGGGTGAGAAGTGAGAGCTTCACCTCACAGGACCAGGATCCCGTCAGGCACACGTTGAAGAATGTTTAGCAGGCAAGTGACTTGAAGAGATTTGTATCTGGAGAAGCTACTGCTGGATGTGTGCGGGGCAGGCAGGGACAATCCAAACAAGAGGTAGGAAAACCAGTTGTGCAGGAGAGACGGTGAGGGCCTGAGGGAGTGGACAGTTGAACCAGAGCAGTGATTCTCCAAGTGTGTTCCCATATCCACACACTGGAATACTATTCATCAATAAAAGAAATGATATACTGATCCATGCTATAACATGGATGAACTGCACAGACATTATGCTAAGTGAAAGAAGTGAGACACAAAAGACGTACTCCATGATTCCATTTAGGTGAAATGTCCAGAAATAATAAATCCATAGGGGCACAAAGTAGATGAGTGGTTTCCTTGGGTTGGGGGTAGAAATGGGATTAACTGTGAATGGGTATGAAGGATCTTATTGGGATGATGGGAATGTTCTAAAACTGGATTTTAAATGGTGATGACTGCACACATGATAAATTTATGAAAAATTATTGAATTGTACACCTAAAATGGGTACATTTTACCTCAATAAAGTTGTTTAAAAAAAAAAAAGAGTACCTGTACCGGCAGCATCAGCATCACCTGGGAACTTGTCAGAAATGCAGATCCTCAGGCCCCACTCCAGACATTCTGGGTCAGAAACGCAAGGTGAAGCACTGAGTCATCAATGTTTCACAGGCCCTCCGGGTGACTGAGGCATGCTAAAATTTGAGAACTACTGGATTAGAGAAATATTTAGGAAGGACAATCAACTAGAGGACAATTAAAAGGGAATGTGGGATCAGAAAAGGACAGTGCCCAAGGATAACTCCCAGGTTTCTGGTTTGGGAGGCCAAGTTGCTGGTGATGCCACCAAATGAGATTGGTAACCCAAGAGGGACAGGCTTAGTTAAGTAGCAAGAAGTTCACAGTGGCTGTGGGGTGTCTAGCAGGGACATCCAGCAGACACTGCATCCCTGGGCTTAGATCCAGTAGACACTGCATCCTTGGGCTTAGAGCAATATCTAGTTCCAGGCAGCGACAAACTGCAAAGTCTACTTGAACCACAGGGAGTTTCCTGGGCACCCTGGCTTCTGACATGGTGAGAAGGGGACTGGGATGTGAGGGGCATGCAGGGAGAGTCTCAACTGGCCTCTTACAAGTTTAAGAGGAGGAGAAGGGTAGGGTGGCAGCTACACAGCTATGAAGGGCCTGAGGAGGCTTATTTTAGAATGGGAGAAATTTGATTATGCCTTCTTGATAAAGAGAAAGAGGATAGTAAGAAATCAAACACCGAGGAGAGCAAGAGAGGGAGAGAAATAATGGATGAATCAAATCCAAGAAAAGTCAAAAGGAATGGGACCAGGGGAAAGTTTGGCTTTGAACAGACAGCACCCCATAGCCTCTGAAACTGGAGTATGTGTTTGTGTACTTGTGTCCATAGGTGAGTGGGAAATTAAGGAACATGCTACCTGAGGGAGTCAATTTTCTACATAAAGTAGGCGGCTAGGCCATCTGCTGAGAGGGAGGAGGCCTGGGTTGAAGAGGGTTTAAGGGTAGAGGTTGCTAGAGGCGGAGGAGGGGTGAGGGGTTTGAGGGCTGGTGAGAGAGACGGTCTCCCCAGAATGAACCTCGCCTCAGGAAGAAAGGCAGGTCCAGAGAGGGCTGACAGGTCAGTGGAGACAGAGGACCCAGGTACCCAGAGTCTACACGGACTCTACGTAACAGATGAGGGGAAAGTGAGAGCATGAATGAGATGGAAAAGACAGATGCAAACAGGAATCCAGACATTCACCCATGAGCAGTGTCAGGTGTCTTCAGGAACAAGACAGTGTTCCTGGCCTGGGCAGCTAGACTGGATGCCCCAGTTGTGGGGCAGAGGAGCCCTAAGCCCACAGTTCACGTGCACAGATTCTACCGAGTCCTCCACACAACAGGGGTTGCTGCTGAGGTTTTTAATTCTGGAGCATGCTGTCCATCCTCCCCCAAAGTTAATATGTTTGGGTTGTGACAACGAAAGCTACAAATGGTGTGTGAAACTCATCAATAGTCAGAAGTGCTTTGACTTCCTGACTGACTGCTCTCTCTTCCCAGCGTGGTGCCTGAGAAACGAGGGTGTGAGTTCCGTGCTCCTGGGATCATCCACTCCTGAACAACTCATTGAAAACCTCGGTGCCATTCAGGCAAGTACCGCAGCCCTTTCCAACCAACTCCAGGAAATTTCCTGGTGCCTTTGAAGATGCCCCCAGGCAGTGTCCCGTCTCCCCACCTCTGTCCTTCATTGTGTCACAGCTGAGTTGCATGAAAGCCCCTAATATAGGGAATAGGCTACCTGTTCCTAGAAAGGGGAAGAAAGGAAATGGGGACAAAGGCAAAAGAAGCAACAGAACTTTCACAGTATGTGGATCCAGGGATGTCCTCTTCTGATTAACAGGCAGTCTCCTCCGGGCTCATTTCTCAGGATGGCTTGTGTCTGTGGGACAGTGTATTCTATTACCCAAGCAATGTTACACCTGACGACTGGGTTCCCAGGTCGAACCACACAAGCCTGCCTAATAACCAGCTTGAAATGTAGTAGCCGTAGGACAATATCCACACATCATGTATTTACTTTTTTCCCCACAAATATTTATTGCCAATCTACAGTGTGCCAGGCCCCTCCTTTCTATTCTCCTAGCATCCTGGATCCCTCTCCCCATCACAGCACTTACGATAAACGTAGTATAATCGCCTGTCTCCCCTGAGGTCAGAGACTTGTGTCTTTCTTGCTTCTCCACTATTTTCCAGTTCCTAGACTCTGTGGCCCTTAGTCAACACCCAAGAAACACCTATTGAATGAATGAATGTTTGCCACTTTTAAGACAAATAGGCTCAGAATTCCAGGATCACATCTCCCTAACAGCAATTTCAGGAGCACCCACCCCCATTCCCTCCCCTGCGGGGATTGCTAGGCCTGGAGGGAGCCTGCAGCTGTACCTGGGGAGCCTGTAAGGCAGCAGGAAGGGAGGTGGGAGAGAGATGTTCCTGGGAGTTCTGAGCAGAGGGTGGAGGTTGGTGGCTGTGGTGACCATCCCCTGCCCCCAAAGGTCACATCTCAGTCCTGAGCCTGCCCCACCCTCAGCCCAGCCAGAGGCTGCAGGAACGAGCCCATCCACAGCTCTTGCCGTAGCTGTGTCACCTGCCCAAACAGAAGTGCCTCACAGCTTCTCCCCTGTCCATCTGTCCCCGAAACCAGCACTTAGCCTTCTTACCTCTCCCAGAAGGAATTAGATGGAGGTGGGGACAAGCTTGATTAAACTTAAAACTTTTAAAAATCCTTTTGAAGAATAGCCTCGAATATGCTGGGAGATAAACGGTGCAGACCTCCTTCTCCACTGTCACCTTTCTTAGGGCTGTGCAGCTGGGTAATCATCTCTGCCTCTCAGCTTCTGAGAATTCCTCTCAGTTTGTGCGGTTCCCTGTCCCTGCCTGGGGAATGCTCCCTCTTAAGAAAGCCTTCCCACCTTCTCTCATTTTCACTTGTGCTCTGGGAACAGATAAAGGCTCCACAATGACGAGGAGGAAACGGGAACAGTCTATAAACAAAAGAACTGAAATGCAACCCAGTGATTTCAATTCCACTAACACTTATTGAGTACTTATTCTGTGTCTGGCACCATGCTAGGCAGAGAGTGTTCCGAGATAAGCACAGGACGGTGCCCTCAAGAGCTCACGGGCTGCCTGAGAAAGAGGGAATTAAGATTCACTCTATCCCGTGGTTCATTCAGGAGATCTCTGAGAGCTTACTCTGTACCCAGCACTGGGGACACCACAGGAAACCAGAAAGATATTACCCAACCTTCAAGGAGCTTACATTCCAGTGGCAGAGGCACATAATAAAGAAACATATAAAATAATTTCAAGTGAGAAGGTTTACTAAGTAAATAAAGATGGTATTGTAATAGAGGCTAACTGGGAAATGAGTGAGCCCACCTTAGATAATGTCCTTGCCAAAAGCCCCTCTGGGATATGCGTATTCTGAAGCCTGAAAGTGGAGGACACAGCACGTGAAAAGCCCTGGAAGGAGCAGACACACAGAAGAGCAGTGCAAAGGCCCTGAGACGCAGACGCACTTGGCTTTTTCCAGGAAGCACCGGCCTAAGGCGAATGTGGTCAACATGCAGTGAGCATAAAGGATGGTGGGCGCGGGCAGGGGACAGGTCACACGGAACACTAGAGAAGTCAGAATTTTGTTCTACTCACAGCAAATCCTTTGGAGGGTTTTAAGAGGAGGGACACGCTGTTATTTGAATTTTTAAAGATTGCTTTGGCTGTTGTGTGAAAAGCAGAATGAAGAAAGGCAAGGACAGGTTGTCCGGGTGACGGGTGATGGTGGCTTGGACTAGTGAGGATGGTGGCCATGAAGGTCAAGGAGTCCATAGGTTTTGGAAAGAGAGGCATGACTTGCAGATGGCTTGGCAAGAAAAGGGAGCAGCCAAGGATTCCTGTCAGCCAACAGAGTGATCACTGCCATTCCAAGGGGGGACTCATACTGCCAGGGACGCAACTCATACTGCCTGGGCTGTGGCAATACTCCAGGTAGCCAAAGATAACATTTCAGAGGAAAACTGAGGCAGTCATCTTCCCAAAGCACTTCCTCCCTAGCAAGGCTCTGGCTGGTAGCAGGATGGGGCTTCCATGCTCAAAGGGTAAGAGAAAAGGGATGATGTCCAAGCAGGGAGGCTGCTACCAGGAGGGTTTACCTTCCCTTTTCCCTTTCTACTCCACCTCCCGTGAGCCCAGCGCCACAGATTCCACCCTTGGCAAGCTGTAACTGGGCCCCTTGATGTGGTGAGAGTAGATTGTGTGGCTGGGGGCTCCCTGCAGCAGTTGGTGGGACTGGATAGAAAGAGTGCAGTGCCAGCAGCTATAAGGAAAAGAAGTTTCTAATGGGCAAAGGACGGCAGCTGCTCCAAGGAATGAATGTGCCTAAGGTGAGCGTAAACTGGAGGGGCATTTATAAATCAGAGCCTCAAGAGATGAGAGACTGGAGAGAAGCCACAGCTGCAGGCAGCCCATCACCTGCACAGGTCCCCATCCTCCAGCCTTAAAGCACTTCTGAGGCTCCCCACCATCCACTCAGAAAAGTCCAGGCTCCTCAGCAGTCGGGCCTTCCCATCCACAGCTCATCTCCCCTCCCCCACCTTCCCTGGGATCCTAATCCCCAGAATAGTGGCCCTCCTCCTGCAAAGTGTCCACCACCGCAGGCTGGCCAAATCCGGCTCCATCCCCAAGGTCCATCTTGACAGTGGCCCAGTCCTGGGAGAGCTCCCCTAATGCCTGCAGCTGCAGCGCGGGCCAGACCTCCCCTCCCCCGCCAATTGCTGCAGTCAGGATACTGCTTCGCCTGCAGTTTGCTATAGCTCGTGGGATGTTTGTGTGACCTGCAGGGACGAAAATGTTTTAAAACAGTCACCAACATTAAAAAAGTGGGCAGCTTCACACAAAATTCTTAATGTATGGCTTCTCTTGAACATTTAGGTCTTGTAACACTATATATTTTTTCATGTTTTATTCAAGTACTTTTATGGTTTCATTTTTCTAATGTTTAGATCTCTTTTCTTATTGCTGTAGTGAATGAAGAATTTTTTTCCTCACATGGCTAACCCACTGTATTCTAGACACAAAACTTCCAACCAGCTTCTAGATTTGAGTCTCAGTGTTGCAGTCTCACATTTAAATCACACAGTAGCTGAGATCCTCTGATGCTCCAAGGCTAGTGGGAAACCAAATCTGCTTTAGCTTCATTAGGAGAGGAAAATGTTACCAGACCAGTGAGGAAGGAGCTCTACTACCCTGCCAAACCCTGAGGCTTCTGGGGAGAGCATGTGAGTGGAGACAAGGTCATGCTGGCCAACATGACTGCAGCAGAGGAAGGGTGAGGTGGAAACCTCAGAATCAGTCATCATGAATGTATTTCACCACAGACTCCACACAGGCTCAGACTATTCCTGCAAGAAGCCTGCCTCTGTCCCTTGTCTTATGGTGTAACGTGTGCCCTTGGCCCACTTCTTGCAATAAATGCTAGCTGGCCCTAGATGATCTCATCCTTCCCCAGGGCTTCAATGAGCATGACCGTGCAGATGACTTGCAAATTCTCAACTCCAGTCCTTCCACTACCACTAATCTCCACAGCTGCACTTCTGGCTGCCTGCAAGTCACTTCTACATGGGATCCCAAAGGCACCTTCACCTCAACATATCCTACCCCAAACTTAGGCTCCAAACTTCTCCTCCTGTGGTCCCTCAATAATTAATTACCTACACCAGTATCTTCCTAGTCACCCAGTCGTGAGATCACCTTCAGCCTCCAAAATGTCTCGCAGAGGCACTCTCCTTTTCTCCTCTGCCGCCACTGTCCAGTTAAGGCTCTCAGTGTCTGGCTAGGACTGCAACAAATTTCTAACACGTGTCCCCTTTCAATCTCCTTCCAACTCTTCCTTCAGAATACCTCCATGTGTCTGATGGGGTCACTCCCAGCTGAGAAGTCCTGAGAGGTTCCCTACCACCTACAGCATAAAGTCCCAACTCCAAAAAATGGCATTCAAGGCCTTCTGCTGTTTACCTCAACTTCCCTTTTCTCTATTCCCACCATCCCCACCCCTCCCCCACTCACTCTACACTTGTATCACCCCGTTTCATAGACTTTTCACTTCTTCATGCTGTTCCATCTACCTGGGATGCCTGTTAACCTGTGGCCATCCTTCACCAGGATTCTGTCCACCAGCTGGACTGAATCTCTCCTTAGTCTCTAGACCTGTGCTATCCACTACTGTAGCCTCTGGCCACCTATGGCTATTAAAGCTAATCCAAATGGAGATGCGCTCCAAGTGTAAAATGTACCCTGGATTTCAAAGATTTAGTACTTAAAAAACATGTAAAGCATCTAATAATACTCTATACTGACTACCTGTTCAAATGATATTTCGAATATAATGGAGTAAACCATATTAATTTCACCTGCTTCTTTCCACTTTCTAGTGGCCACTAGAAAATCTAAAATTACATATATGGCTCTCATTTTATTTCTATTGGACAGAGCTGCTCTAGATATTCTATATTTCTATTAGCCTTCATTTACTCAGTCAACCAATAATTATGAGCACCTACTATGGGCCAAGTACTCTTACAGGCTCTGGAGATAAAGTGTGAACAAAACAAGGTCCCTGACCTTTAGGGAGCTTCCTGTCTGCTGGGGAGGTAGCATTCTGGTTGTGGTTTATAAATGTATCCAATTCTAGATGACTTTGCTTAATACTGAGCACAAAGAACAAGTACCAAGTACTAACCACATTCTTTGTTCCTCTCATGCTCTCAGGTTCTCCCAAAGATGACATCACACGTGGTAAATGAGATCGATAACATATTGCGCAACAAGCCCTACAGCAAAAAGGACTATAGATCATAAGGCAATGCATGAGCCGCAGGAGCTGCATGGGTAAAGCAGCAGTCTATACAGGTACAGAACGGTGTTACTAGCCAGTGTTCTGAATCACTTAGCAGCCCACTGTTCAACCTCTAGTGTCCCCGGATTCTGAGGTTTCTGCTGTCGCTACCACTGTGCACCTGAATTATGAACACATTTGAAAACTCACAACCAGGAAAATCCATTCTATTTTCTTATCTGGGACTGCAGTCACCTATTCTTACATTGCTCTGTACATCTCATGTTTATGCAAAGGAAAGCATGTGGCGGGGGACATATTACCTTCAAGCATTTACTAACTTAAAGAAGGTTGTACAGATATATTTTTTCAAATGAACAACATCCACAGATGCAATGTGGATTGCATCAGAAAGAGTAGGCTCTGTTCACTCAGAAGTCTTGCTTGAAAAATCAGCTGAAACAATTTTACATTTTTTTTTCTATTTTCACATTCATGTTAGCAAGAGTTGTCTTCACTTGTCATTCAACAGAAGTGAAATGCCTAGGTATTTGCTTTCATCACCTTTTAAATATTTAGTGTTGCTTGGCCTCAAAAATGGCCCTGTATAGCAATTCCTCCAAGGTGGTCTATTAGGATTCTAATAATGTTATGTCCATTTACATGGAGAGATGGTAAAAGGATGAAGACCCTAGTCTTTAACCAGAGAGTCTGGTTAATTTATGAAAGGGAGAATTACACTACTATGGAAGCCTAGCTTTGAATAAAATGTATCTGCAATGAAGTGTTCATTTTTACCTACATTTTCCTAAAACCTGCTTTATACTTTTGACTGCTTGTAGGCACAGCTTCTGCAAGTTTAAATATTTGAGCTTTAAAAATAAATATAGACATGCTCAGTTTTGTAAGTAAATCTGTAAAATACCCAGAAAGGCAAATGTTTGCTGTTTAATTAGCACTGGGATTTTACATGCTTGGTGTTTTTGAGAAGTTATTAACATGAAAGTGAATCATGGGCTTTGAGAAAAATGCTGTCACTACTCAGCATATGCTGGGTGAAGTAACTTGCCCAAAGAAAAGTAAATGTTAAAGAACTTCCTAATTCCATAATCACACTATGTGCATTAAACTATATGCATGAAAGTTCTTTGCATGGATTAATGGGGCCTAGCCTTGTGGCACTCAGAAGCTGAGGTATATCCCGCCCTGCCACTACTTGGCTACCTACTCTCATGAATATATCACTTGAGAAAAACTGACAGTATACTGCGTGTACCTGTAAGGAGGGAGAAAACTTTTTTCCCCACTTTTAAGGTGTATGTAGAGGGGGGAGGGTCCTCTATCTCTATTTGGACACCTGAGCATGTACGAAATTCTAATCTAATTTTCTGGCCAACAGGACCCCATGTAGAAACCACTGAGACTTACAGAAGAAATGTACTATCAGCTTAAAATGCTATTTTCTGCCATCATTTCCAGATATGTATTTCATGATTAAGTTCTCAATCTTAAAATGTTAGTGTGAAGTACCAACAAATGTCCTTTTTGATTACTATTACCTGAATTCTAATAGGGAAACAGTGCGTTTTTTACCCAAGAGTATCAGATTAATGATGAAAATGGAGCATTTTTCAGTTGTTCATTGTGCATTCAATCAATCCAGTGAACTACTGTACGCATAAATGAGCTGAAGTTGTCTAATTGGAACTGCAGTTTATTTGCTTAGAGTAATAAAAGCATTTGTGCATTTAATCTCACAATTAGTTTTTATCTGATCTATCATTATAAGGCTATATATATATCATTATAGGAGATATATACACACACACTCACACCCATCTTCATAAAATAGGCAGTAAGAATCACTTAAAAATAATGTCGGGGGCCTCCCTGGTGGCGCAGTGGTTGCGAGTCCCCCTGACGATGCAGGGGACACGGGTTTGTGCCCCGGTCTGGGAAGATCCCACATGCTGCGGAGCGGCTGGGCCCGTGAGCCGTGGCCGCTGAGCCTGCGCGTCCAGAGCCTGTGCTCCGCAACGGGAGAGGCCGCAACGGGAGAGGCCACAACAGTGAGAGGCCCGCGTACCGCAAAAAAAAAAATGTTGGCAGGTAAGCTGCACTGAGTGATACCTAACAAGAAATAGCTTTACCAAAAGATTTAAATTGCAACCCAAACTTTTTTTCTCTTGTTAATGGAGAAAATGATTAGCTACTGGAGATATTTCTCCTTGGGTTTTAGATATGTTCTGTACTAAGGTTAAAGCTTCTCAAACTCATTTAAAAGAACCTGCAAATTAAAATCAAATACCAACATTGCTTGGCCGTGGGAACATCTAGTTTTATATACAAATCATCTGCCATGGTAAATATACTAGATAAATACATTTCACAGTTCTATCCTTAAGAAAAATTTCCATGCACTCTCATTTTCTTTTCTTTTCTGGAAAGATTTCCTTGGCAGAGAACATACCATTCCAAAGGGTAACCTGGGTGGCAGCCAGCCACATACTGAAACCTCAGCCAAGGGAAATGAAAAGTAGAAGCCCTGTGCCTGGCTTCCCACTTTAAGAACTGCCACTTCATCTTCATCCGTAGTGTGCACCAAGGGTCACCGGATAGATGTCAGGGCTTCAAGGGGCCTTCTCTACCTTTGAGACCACCCCACTCCCTGCAAATGAGGAAACCAGGCCTGAAGAGATTAAATGACTCACCCAAACTCATACTGCAAGTTGATGGCAGAACCAGGCCTAGAACCCAAGTATTTTGTGTTCCAGTCCAGTGCTCTTTTAGGGATGATTTTTTTAGCTTTAAAGCTTTATGAAAAAGTAAGTGTGTGTGATTTTTTAAGTTAAAAAAACTTGGAAATGAATCCAAATTCAGGATCAGTTAAGAAGAAGGAAAGGTCAAAGAAATGCAATGAAAACTCATGAAGGCCAATGAGAAGTTCATCTCTAACCACCTCCATGAAAATCAAACCAACCACCCAAAAGACCCTCCTCATCTTCAATGAATCCCCCTACTTGGGAGTCCAAGGAGGTGTGGGAGATAACCCCTTACAGCCCTTACAAGCATTTGATCAGTAACTACAAAAATGTGCATTTACATGCATGGGAAATTAAAATAATGGTGAAACGTGAAATAATGACGTGAAATAATGTAATAAAGATGATATACTTAACCACACGGTTCTTATAAAGAAGTCTAGGGAAAATATAAATTTTACAAAGCAAAACTTAATGATACTCAATAAGCAAGACCTTTGGGGAATTCCCTGGCGGTCCAGCCGTTAGGACTCTGTGCTGTCACAGCTGAGGGCGCAGGTTCAATCCCTGGTCAGGGAACTAAGATCCCACAAGCCGTGTGGTGTGACCAAAAAAAGAAAAAACTTAGCAAGACCTTTCATTAAGAATTTTGGGTATAAATCCAACGCCCACATTTGTTAACTTCAAACTTGCTTCAAATTATTCTATCCAAGTTAGAATAATATACCATATAGGTCAACCAGTAGATTTTTACTGGCTAAGAGTAATTTCAACCCAAGTATTAAGTTATAAATGAACTTCTAACTTATCACAAGGGGTGTTAAAACAGGAATTAAATCACTTTGAATCCCAATTACAGCAAAACCCCTTTTATTTTACTGGTGTTGGATAAGAGGCATTTTTTTGTTTTGTTTTTTTAGTGGTATGCGGGCCTCTCACTGTTGTGGCCTCTCCCGTTGCGGAGCACAGGCTCCGGAGGCGCAGGCTCAGCGGCCATGGCTCATGGGCCCAGGCACTCCACGGCATGTGGGACCTTCCCGGACCGAGGCACAAACCCGTATCCCCTGCATCAGCAGGCGGACTCTCAACCACTGCGCCACCAGGGAAGCCCGATAAGAGGTATTTTTAAGATAAAAATTCTCCAGCAGGCTTTTACTAAACTAAGCCAGATCCAACACATCATAATTCTATGTGCTACACAGTCTTTCTAGGTGACACGGAGAGTGCTGGTGAAAAGGTTCCACAGCTCCTAAGAGTAAAGCACTGGTACAGTAAATCCTTAGTGAAAACTGCAGAACCATCAGAATATGTCTTATGAACTTATACGCCAGAATTTATCTGACAGTACAGAAAGTTAGAAACTATTATCAGGATTAAAAACAAAAAGTGCCATAAGAAAATTTCAGGACCAAAACCAATTTTTGCTTCCTCACTTTTCTACAAATTATTCAGTTTATTAACTCAAGAGGCACTCTATTAAGAATGTCACACTTATGCCCCTATTTTGCCACCCCATCTCAGGTATACTGTATTATAAGAATTTTTTTCCCATCTATACAGGCACTGCCATCTAGTGGCAATTTTTTACCTGCAAGTTAAAAATTACAGGTAAAAAATTACTTGACCCGCCTCTGATAACAAACAGTAGACACTGATGGTTTGTCAAATAGTCATTTTGTCAAATAAGCAAGTGCAATTGGTACAAACGCCATGCCACCAAACTACTGACCAGTTATTAATCAACAGAAAAAAAAAAGTTAAAACACAATAAAAATAAACTTCTTATGTGCTACACTAACTACTATGCAGGGTCTTTCTTCTGACTTCCCCATTAACCCCATATTACCCAGTGGTGGCACATGGATAACAATGTACCAGAGAAAAGTAAAGAACTGCAGACTTCTAAAAGCAATGATGAAATCTAATCCTCAGTTGAAGATAATGATGATCTGGGTCACTAGGCAAACGTACTCCTGGCCTGCCTTCCTTCCAGGTTCTTAGATGTGACTTCCCAAAACATCTAACAGCATGGAATTGGAAGATGGACTCCTGGTGAATATCTTTCTGTAGTTATAAATGGTGAATATTATTTGCAACATTCACCTTAAATTTAGAAGTGGAAACCAAACATTAAAGTTAAGATTAGCCATTGGGAATATATTTCCTTTAAGATATTGTTTGCAGAAAAGTACTGGATGTGGTCAAAAGCTGACAGGAATTATCACCTGTTAGTCCATAACCTTTTAAGTGATGTAGGTTCAAGAAGAGCTTCCCAAACTTTTTCAAACCGTGGCACATAGAAAAAAATAATTACCTGTAAACACACTGGTTAAAAAATGCAAGAGACTGCTCTTGGCTGGACCCACAAGGTCTAAAGAGATCAATATTTTGTTTACAATTGATAGGAACCTTTGGACTAAAGGGTCAAATTTACGAAAAGTCCTCATGGAAAAATGCTGACCAGCACCAAAACCACTGTAATTTCTTGGAGAGTTCTTAGAATTCCAGAACTAAGATCACAAAAATTACTTTGGTCTTTTACACATCAATATTCAGGAAAGAGCTTCTCTTATTGAACATTCCTCCAGTGATGTGAGACCCTGGTCAAGAGAAAACAATGATCCCATTCTCTTACTAGGTCAAACCAACATGGTAGGGTCAAGCTAACCTCCCTGGACACCCAGGACCAAAGCTATAGAGCTGAACAGTGTGTACTTTAATAACCGCATAGGACAACTCTCATATGCCTAGGCACTATTTTTAGATTATTACCTTGGCTGCCTTTCTTCCTTTTAAAAGAAAAAAGAACAACTTTTCCACAAGTTTCTCTTCTCCAAGTTGGAGAAACTCATGTTTTAACTTTGAGTTATTTCAAATTCAGAGACTTGCAAACATGAAGCTTCTGTTCAATCCCCCAGAGGGAGAGGACTCATTCTGATATTTATGGTTCAAAAAAAGTTGTAATATTGTGCTTGGAACACACAGAACCAATTATTAACTTCTTGCTACTATTATAAATAATAACAGCTCAGTCCAGGTTACTGTGACCTCTGACAAGTCAAGGAAACAAGTTATTTTCTCCCCTTGTGATTATAACACATTGCAACACTTTCTGCCTTTTAATAAATGTCCTGGTACTCTTGAGTTTCCCTTTCAATTCATTTAATTTCAACAATCTGTCAAAAAAAAAAAGAGCCAATAAACAAATATTGAATTACATTTTGTTGGGTTTTTCAAACCCTCAAACTCCAGACTTACAAAAACAGCTTGTGTGTCTTCCACCCTGACCACCCTGCTACTTTTCCATATACCACAGGCCACCCATAGACACAAAGCCAGGGCGGTGGAGGGAAGCTGACGTGCTCTACTTGGAGCCAGTAGACAGGAGGGCGATGAGGCCTGAGGAAGCACTTATGGACAAAATGTAGTTCCTGTAAGAATTTAATGTTAAGGAAAAATCAACCCCAAATTGGTTTTCAACAAAACAAAAAGAACCCATCTCTTTGGAATGTACCGTTTCCCTCCTGACGCTGTCTAATGACAATAATATGCAGTCCCAATGTCTGCAAATGCAATTTACAAGAGAGATTATAAAGAATGAAGAACATTCACAGGAAATGTGTTCCAATTTTAAAAAGAAAACACTTGAGACAGAAACCTAGAACACATGATCACAAATAAAACATCTGAATTCCATTTAACCTGCAGGAAACGAACTGATCAAAGAACGTGGGGAGGAAGAAGGGACTGATTTCCCCAACCCCCCAAACCCCCACATCAAGAGCAAAGGAAAAATAAGTCTTCCCTGTCTATCAGTGTTTTGGCTATAGCTAGCCTGTAAAAGCAAGGAGGTTCTGAAAGTCTGCAGCTACTCTCAGCCTCAGGACTAGAGTGTTTGGGGCAAACCACTCCAGTATTCCCAGGAGATACAAGTTGGAGGGTATCTGATATTTTATTACATCACAATCTCCAACGGTTAAAAGTTTGG